CGTGGCCTTGGTGTTATCAGCACCGCACTCTACCGAGTGAGCCACGGGCCGGCCTAAGTTGGTGTCTTTTTAACGTGGTAATGAGCATCTTTCAAATTATTTCAGGGAAAGACAGATAGAAGCTGCTTATGCACTCAAATGTGTATATTGAAGGATAACGTATTCAAATTTAACTGGAACAGTCATCATGACAGCAATAAGAGTAAATGTTATTAATAATAGTAGTTTCTTTTTTTCTTTTTTTTTTTTTTTTTTTTAAAGATGACCGGTAAGGGGATCTTAACCCTTGACTTGGTGTTGTCAGCACCACGCTCAGCCAGTGAGCCAACCGGCCATCCCTATATGGGATCCGAACCTGCGGCCCTGGTGCTGTCAGCACCGCACTCTCCCGAGTGAGCCACAGGCCGGCCCATAATAGTAGTTTCTTAATAGTAATTTTTCTTCTGTGGTGGTTTCAGATTGAGAAACTGGATGCCCGAGGGATCCAGCTTGCTGCCCTCTTCATGAGTGGGGTCGACACCGCTCTGTTTGCTAATGATGCCTGTGGCCAGCCAGTCCCTTGGGAGCACTGCTGCCCCTGGATTTACTTCGATGGCAAGCTGTTCCAGAGCAAGCTAATTAAAGCAGGCCGAGAGCGAGTGTCCCTGGTTGAGCTCTGTGATGGCCAGGTACCAGCATGTCAGGAAGCTGCTAAGGGCCAACTCTGATATGCTGTGGGGAGGAATAGGCAGGGAGGGGAAAGGAGCTAAGACACTGGGGAGGGAGGGAGCAGAAGTGGAAGACTGTGTCTGAACTTAACCCAACTTAGTCAACAGTGGTCCCAAAGGCCCATAGTCTGATATGTACATGTTACAAAATCATATGTTGGAAAGTTTTTTATGAGCTTAGCATGGAATACTCAGATACAGTGTACTATGTGCCTTTCCTCCAGCTCCGAGGATTTCATTTCCCTTGTTTACAAAAGCTGTAAGTCAACTTTTACAAGTGATGATATTTTTTATAAAGGAACTATGGAAATAGAAGAGGGTGGTAAAGTAGACAACAAAGTAGAAGCAGAGGTTTTTTGCAATGAACCCTTGGGAAAGATGAGGGAAGGCAAGGGAAAGGGACCCTTGCTTACTCCTTTATCCATTTGTGGGGAATGACTAGAGCAGGGGTCGGCAAACTACCCAGCCTTCCTCCTGTTTTTTGTAACAGAGCCCACCCCTCATTTTTGTAAATAAAATTTTATTGGAACACAGCCACATTCATTCATTTACATGCTACCAATGACTGTTTTTATGCTACAGTGGCAGAGTGGAATAGTTGGAACAGAGACAATACGGCCTACAAAGCCTAAAACATGTACTATCTGACCGTTTTCAGAAGAAGTTTGCTAACCTCTGGACTAGAGACAGAGCTCGGGATCTCTGATCCTGGGTATGGGGGAGAAGGTTAAAAGGCTTTGTATATATCAGGGTTTTGTTCTCTCACCTCTCCTTTAAAAATGACCCAGCCTGTTGCTGGCAATGTAACGGACTGTCAGTAAATCTTTACTGTTATATTTATTTTCCTTGACCTAGTCAGTGTGCCTCCCAAGCCCTTGGTCAGAACTAATGTGATGGTAATGTGTTATTATGTGAAGAGTAGTGGCTTTGGGTCCAGACAGGCTTCCTGAGTGTTTAGCCTTCAGCCATTTAATTCCAGGCCTCAATTCTCTTAATGGGAATAGAATTTAAAGACCGTACCTAGAGTGCTCAATACTAAACCTAAAGCATGGGAGACGTTTGAAAAATGGAAGCTACTATTATTTTTCTGTTCCTCATTTGAAGGCTGATCTGGCAACCAAAGTGGAAAAGATGAGACAGAGTATCCTTGAAGGAGTCAACATGAATCATCCACCGCCTTCTGCTCTACTTCCATCACCTACTTTTGTGCCTCCCGTGGTGCCCTCTGTCTACCCTGTTTCACTTTATTCCCGAGCCATGGGATCAATGCCACCTCCCCCTCAAGGAAGGAGCCGGGGGTTTGCAGGTCAGTACCGAAGAATGAGTTATTTGCCATTCTCAATTTATCTTACAATAACACATCCAGTAATTATTGCCGGCTACAGAATCAACAGTTTCACACATATCTGATCTCATTTACTCTCTATGCTGTGTTTTGGTAGTTTGAAGAGCAGCTTATTGAGATGGAGAGATGTACCAGGGAAGAAAGTCCATTGACTTCCCAAAACCACTCTCCATAGAGTTGGCTGGTCCCCAGGGATTTGACTCTTACCAAACGAACTCATGAGATGACTGATGAGAAAACCAAGAGCCACTTTACTACTTTTGAGAACTGTAATTCATATGAGCTGTATCTTCCTAGTTGCTATTAGTTCATTCGTTCCCTATATGCTCTCAGGAGCTTGCAGGAAGAGCAATGGGAGTAAATGGCCAGTGTTGGCAGACGACAGCTTGATGTACCCGTTTCCACTCTGGGGTAGTCCTGACACATTTCCCTTCCTTCAGCTCCAGAAGCATGGAGATAAATAAGTCACCATCCATGTCCCCCAGAGGGTTTCAGTTTGGTGGGGAAAACAAATACACACACATACACATATACATAGTTATACATACACATATCTATAAATTACAGTGAAACCTGAGCTTGCACTTAATAAAGAATAGGCATCATGCTTAGCTTGCTCAGATACTGATCCTGATAATTCAGATAACCTGTCCCTGATGAAATAGGATATTTTAATGAGGACGTTTTACATCTCAAAATAGCAAGATTCTGTGATCAGGTAAGAGTGTCATTGCTGTGGCTGAAGGTGCTTGTTGTCTATTGCTCCTCGCTTTAGAAATAATAAAGGTGGGGCTGAGCCCGTGGCGCACTCAGGAGAGTGCGGCGCTGGGAGCGCAGCAGCGCTCCTGCCGCGGGTTCGGATCCTATATAGGGATGACCGGTGCGCTCACAGCGCTCACTGGCTGAGCACGGTGCGGCAGGTCTCAAAAAAAAAAAAAAAGAAATAATAAAGGCGGGAGTTGAGGTTAGTCTTTCAGAGTCACAAAATTCGGTATGGATGTTTAGCTTAAGGCTGGACTTAGATGAGCAGTGTGAAAGTCTGCTCTGGTAACTCCCTGTTCAGTCATGTAATGATCAAGTCTTATAAACCAGGAAGCCAGCCATTCCATCCCTTGATGGTGACTTTACAGATTACTTTTCTGATTCTTTGTATGTTGATTTTATTGTCTCAGAAGACAGTCTCCAGTTACTGTAACCAGGTGGTTCATGAGAAGGCACCTGAAAGGACACAATAGGATCCCTAAATGCAAGTCTTTTTTTGTCCCTCTTAGGAGTAGCTAGCACCCTAGTTCCTTGGATTCTCATTTTTATATAAACGTAGGGCTCTTTACTAACGACTTGCTAAATGAGTTAAGAGTTGTTAACGTTTAGTTTCTTTCCATAAACTGAAATTAAAGGCCTACTAGAACTCTATATTCTCTGAAGGCTTACTTTTGTGCCAAATTACAAAATTCAACTGTACTTGTGAGCTCACACAGAGTTGGAATTTCCTCTGTTTTAAGAAGATATTATGCCATCTTGAATTGGTTCTCAATTTCAACTATTGCTATTCTTGTCTTTTAATTATAAATTACTGTTTGTTTAATTTTGTTATTTTCAGTTTAGTTTTTTTGTTTGGCTAATCCTGAAGTGTGTAGTTATATGTATGTGTGTCAAAAGTTATGTGGACCTATAATTCTCCAGTAACTAGATTTTAAGACCTTCATTCTCTCAACAAATATTGAAATCCTACTATGTGCCGTGCTCTGTAGTTGAAAAAGGAATTACCCCACACCCTACTTGTGAAAGTGGATATGTACTTTCTTCATATCTTCAATCCCCTCCCCCTAAATTTGCTTCCATTTTCAACCTCCTCCCCCTAAATTTGCTTCCATCATGACCCTTTGTTGTTATCATGGAGTCTTTTTATCAGAGAGAAAAGGAAAATAAGAGTAGGTGGGCTGTAGAATCTTTTGTTCCACCTCTTGTCTTACCTTGCGCTTACCATTCATTACTGCCATTTTCCCTCTCTTGCCAGGTCTCCATCCAATCCCACCCCAAGGAGGAAAACTGGAGATTGCTGGGATGGTCGTGGGCCAGTGGGCTGGCAGCAGATCTTCCAGGGGTCGAGGATCCTTTGGCATGCAAGTGGTTTCTGTCGGTGGGCCAGGAAAGGGGTATGTATTCAGATAGGTTGGTATGAGCTAGTGTCAATCAAGGTGCCCTTGGGAAAATGCCCAGCTATTGAATCCTCTACTAAGGTAAGAGGTATTAACTAATTTTCCATTTTTAAAGCCAGTTTTCAGTTTAGTTCAGCAAACATATAAAAAGTGCCCTGCCTTGATGAAAAAGCATTTTTGCCCTAGAAGAGGACATGGGACACAGAACAATTCAATATAATATAGAAATAACATAGGTAGACGTTTATAGTGGCAACACAGAGGAGGGGCATCTAACTTGAGAGGGTTACACTTCCTAGAGGAGGTGAGTAGTTAACCAAGTGAAAAGGGGTATGGGCTTTATATGTTTCTCATGGTCACTTTTTCTCCCACTTGCTAAAGGCCTGGAAAAGAACAGATTGGTAGAGGACCCAAAGGACACAAAAAAGGAAACAGACAAGTAAGCATCTTTTTTTTGAGATTATCTAGCTTCTGTTTGATACCTCTTGCCTTTTCAGCTAAATTTCATGAGATCAGATCAGGCATGGAAACCTGAGCTCCTTAGGGGAGCTTTCACAGTTTCTCCAGGCATTTGATTTCCTCCCCCTGCTCTGTGGTGATCTAGTGAAAGTTAGCATGCCTAGAGCTGTTCCCACAGGGCTGCAGAGTCTCATCCTTTTCCCTGAGTGAGCCCGCAAGATAGAAACCTGGTACCGTGTCCTGAAGACCTATGCCTAACATAGTATGTGCTAAATGCAGCCAGGAAGGGTCCAGAGTGAAACTAACAGTGAGATTGCCTGTAGCCTGCCTAAGCTTCTGAGGGGCCACCAGAGATGCATAGAAAATTGGACTTTTGCCTTTGCTTAATATACGGAGAGGGGCATTGTTATTCTGCTTATTCCTAATGACTCAGAAAGGTCTTAAACTTTCTTCTAATCTACACCTTAAATTCTATCACAGTTCCCACTGGTTCTCATTAGACATGCCCCTTCCTCCTACCCATCCCCCACCCCCAAATATAGACTGTGAGGACCTATTCTTATTGTGATCCAAAATCTGGTACTGGACTTAAACTGCTAGGCTCCTCATAGTACAGCAGCTACCATTTCTTGAGTGCCTACTTTTTACCAAGCCCCTTCTACTAGACATTTTACATGTATTTTCTAATCCTAGGCAATTTTGTTGTCAGTTCTTAATGCTAAATCTGCTCTCCTGTATACAGCTAGCCTTACTACATCCGTGTTAATCCCCATTATCTAATGTTTTCTAAAAGAATATAAATTTGCTTTAATGTTATTTTGAGACAAAAATAGAACTAGAATAAGTCCCCCACACAAAGCATTTTATAATGCATTCCACAGCTAAAGAGTAGAGACTTCGGGATTTTTTCAAAGCTTCTCAGCTTTTTCCAGAAGCCGCTCAGTACAGTAAAAAAGACTGCACCTAGAAGGAAAACTAGTCAACCAGGTAGGCTCCCATAAAGTGGTATGCACCTTTCTCTTGGTCCTGGGGGTCTCAGGAAGCAGGACTACAAGTAGCCTCTGCCAGGAGTCCCCCAGGGAGCAGGGCCGCACGCAGCCCTGCCAAGAGAGTGCAGCGAGGTGAGTTGCTTAGGGCACACCTTGAGCTAGGGGCTGCTGCCTAGGGAGGTGGGCAACCAGAAACCAGACACAAAGTTCTGGGGCTTAGCGCACACACTAAGCAACTTTATTGTCTTCCAAGCATGTATTATATATGTTTTAGCCAGCTGTAAGCCCCTCCCACACCTCCCCGTCTCCTAGATAACTCAATGGGAAGTCTGTGGTTTGCGGTTGAGCTTTGTGAATTCTTGCTGACCCCGTCTATTTGCATTTCTGCTGATAGTCTAAATCCTGGAGAGCAAGAGTACATCCATCGTTAACAGGTGTTCTCCTTCATTTTCCTCCAGTGGTATAGCCTTGGTGAATTCACCATAATTCAGGGTCTGATCATCAGGTATATAGTCTGAAAAATGATATTTTGGGTACAATAAGAATAAATCCACCTTTCAGTGGTTGACTCACACTAACTAAGATCACAGAAATAGCTATGTGGATATGCTACAGTGGGGGAGAGGGAATGAGAGTAAGAGATAAAGTACTGATTTACAGTGAGAAGAAATAATTATCATGATAATTATGCACTTATTCTTTTCCAGTCTCTCATAAGTATATGAGCTCATTGGAACCACATAAATACCTTGTGAAGTATTTATTATTTCCCACTTTAAACAGGAGAAAAATGTCATTATTATGTATCGTTGCCATTAGATTTCAGTCAGATACATCTGTGGTCAACCTAAGTTCTCAGGACACTATCATAATGTACTAGGTATCAACAAGCTTTAGGCTTTCTGGTAATTTTGAAGAACTGAAACAGCTTCCTCAGGCTAGCTTATGAACATGCTTGGGAAAGGTCAGCCAATTTGGGATCACTATTTTCACTGAGGATTTCTGTTTTTGACAGAGCTTAATCAAGGTTGGTCCCCCTCACAGGTAAATGGAAACAGTGGCGCATTGATCAAGGAAGAGAAGAGTGATCCTCATCTTCCAGCTCCATCACAATGTGCCTTATCTAGAGACAGCAACATGTGTAATAATGATAACCACTACCTCCCCATGAAGAATGGGGAAAAAAACAACTTCCAAGAGCAAAAGCTAGAAACTATGGCACAACGGAAAGAGGAATGACAAGCTGAAGATGGCTTCACCAGATCAAGAAGAGGGGAAAACTTATACTTTTCTGATTCTAGGCCCAAGTTAGAGGAGGATATAAATGCTTACCCTGTGTTTATCCAGGATTTTGATGAGCCGTCCTACGTTGTCCATCTTTTCCCCTTCCCTGTCTTTTTGTGGGCCTCCAGACTTAGTAGTCTGCTTCTGGGGAATTTCAAAGATGAACAGCAACAAGACTAGCTCCTATTCTTAAAGTGAATATATAGCACTAATATTCTCTTTATCTCCCCTGGAAGCCCAGTAAGGCACTAACTGTCAGAAATTGGGTGTCATCACATAAAGTCCTATTAGAGAAGTTTCAGCTTTGGGTTTCTGAGTATTTATCATGATACTCATTTACAGACCTATGCGATAAACCTATGGATGGGGTTGTAGGGACAGCTGTCTATGGCTTTCCGACTTGTTTTTTTTTCTCTTTGAAGTGGTGGGGCCTTGATACATAATTAATATCCACCTCTTTTTCATTCTTTCTCCCAACTCTCCTACCCCAGTATTTTGTACCACAGCCTCTAGCTCTGGTCTGACAATCAGATAGGTAGATGTTTTCAGGGAAGTGAGGTAGTATTGGTTATTTTATTTTATTTTATTTTTTATTTTATACACTTAAAAAAAAAAAAAAAACTACCAATGGCCTTTGTACTGGGGGATTCAAGTGAGTCAGAAAAGTACTGGGCAGATTTTTCCTGCCTTTCAACCCGTGCATTGTTTGTAAAATAGATGTGGTGCAGTTTGCCCATTCCTGCTGACTATACCCTGAAAGGGTGGGAATTACTGTAGTGAAACTGAGTACGAAAGAGACTCAGAAGACTCTGATTGTGTGTGTGTGTGTGTGTGCACGCACACGTGCACATGTGTAGGTTTATGGGTGGGCGTGTATATGAATGTGTGTATCTAAATGCATACACATACCCTTTGTATAAAGAGACAGATCTATTTATCTATACATATTTTATATATATGTGTGTGTGTGTGTGTGTGTGTGTGTGTGTGTGTGTGTGTGTATGTATGTACATGTATACACATACATACATACATACATATATGGTGATGTCCCAGAGGATTTACTGAATTTCCCAGAAATCCTTCCACTGCTATGGAGTGGTGGGTTTCAAAGACCACACTTAAAATCTGAAATCCTTACTAAGTCATGGCCCGTCACAATTATGAGAAGATGGGCTACTCTAAATCAGACAAAAAGTACTTTCCAGAGATTGACTGTTCAGAACAACAAACACTTGGATTGTTACAAGATTAATCTTGAACAGAGCCCTCCCATCCCATATGGTGAAAACAGGAGGTTGGAGTGGGATTGGAAAGAGGTGGGTATTTACTTATGAAGGTTTGAAGAGAAAAAGGGGATGGGAGGTGATTACCATTTGAAAGAGCTTTCAGCCAATTTGGAGGAAATCTCTTCTGGAACTTCAGGGTCAAATTCAGGTGAGGCTTCAAGCTAATATTGATTGACAAGAATTCCTGAAGGAGAGAGGACTAGCATTGGAAAGATGGGATAGGGAGGAATGAGAAAATTGACAATTTGACTTTACATGCCTAGATTGTTTCATTTGTTCATTGACATTTTGACTATAGGATCTTTTCATTTGCTTTGCAAAGAAGACTTCAGAGGATGCTGGCCTGGGCCTTGAGAAGTATTCTGTAAAAGAATCTCAGCCCCCTGTGAGGCCAGGATCTACCTAGGATAAAGAGGCTGTTCCTCCTTGCTGGAGATACTTTTTTCTTCTATCATGACAGTTTATTGTAAAATGATTTAGTATCGTAAAAAGAAAAACGTTAGCAACAAAGTACATGGGTTATTCCCAGTTTAGCAGACTAAACTTGACATTAACAGTGTTTCAAGTTTTTATCCAAGCAATATGCACAAAATTCAGTCACCATAATATCTCCACTAAAAGCTGGAAACAATGGAAAATGGAAAATCTTTTGCTGAAGAAAATTAACCGTTGTAAAGATCTTGAGACAACCTTGCATTTCCAGTTTCCCTCTTTGGGCAGCCTAAGTATGAGGGATGGAAAAATGGCTTGCAACAAATTAGCATTATGTCTTCATTAAGGAATTGAGTATTTTAGACTCACACACTTCCTTTTGGGCTTTGTGATGTTCTTGCCCAAGAAGTAACATTTCTACAAGAATACAACTGACTAGACTTCTACTTCTAGCAGGGTTCTCTTTTTGAAAAACCCCACTCCACAGCAGGTCCTTGATGATTTTTTTTCCAGACAACCAGAATGCTATTTGTTTACTGTCTACTTAAAATGACTGCACCATGAGAAATTAAAAACAGTCTCGGACTGTTTAATCCTAGTCTGTCCTATTTTAAGAGAACCCACAATTTGCAGGGGGAGGAAGCGCTGGAATGCCTTGCCCCTGCCCAGGTACTTCTTACGTAAACCAAAGAATGACGAGAGTGTATACCTAGCTAGATATAAGCAGGAGCAAAGCATATAAAACTTCCTCCTTGGAATCAGCTCCCTAATTTGGACTCCTCTTGGACCTGCCCAGTCTTTCACAACATCTTGAAGGTTAGGACTTCTGTCCAGCAAGGCGGGGGGAATCAGTAGTAAATTTAAATGGCTTGGGAATCTCTTTCTGGAGCCATGGAGGGATGAGTGAATATATATATATGTTCATTTTCTAATAGAATGTACTTGGAGTTAAGTGGTATTTTTTTTAGTTGCTATTTCTGTGCATCTTGAATCTGACACAATCAGATGACAGTATTGTTAACTTTCACAGCATTAAGAGTTCTTAATTTCACTGTGAAAGGTAAAATTGCTGCTTTGACAGGGATGATTCCAGTTTGCCGAAAGGCTTGCTTTTCTCCTTTCCACACACTTCTACTTTCCCCTAGCCTGGCCCAGGGGGAAACAAGTGGCTCACCTTCAACCTTGACTTTATTTGGATTCAGCATTTTGGGTTTGGAAGGTTACAAGAAAGAACCATAAAATGCTGTTCATATATTTTAATTCATCGGCCAAAATGTACAACTTACAATCCAGAAAAACAAAGGTACATTATTGGGCAATGAACTTTTTCTAATGGGAGGACAAATTGGGGAAGGTGGGCTCTGATCTTTGCTGTACCTCTTGAAGAGACTGTCATCCTTCACTTGAGGTTCCATTTCTGACTGTGATGTGGTCTCTCTTGAACAAAGTCATATGGGCACCCCCAGAAATGACCTCTTTACCTTGTAGGGCCACAAGCAAAAACACCCTGGTTGTGTATAGCTACTGACCCCCAAGGACTTGCAGTTCTTGATTTCTGCAGATGTGTCTTGGGCTCAGCCTGTAACTCCTACCGTTATTCAGTGGCCAGTCTGGTCTGGACCAGACCTGACATACTTCTACTCGCTTGCATCATTTTCATTCTGAGCCAGTAGGACTTCAGGTAGACTCTAAAGCCCAAGAAGTGATACTTGCTTTGGTTAGTGACATTTATGTTTCCATGTTGATTTTCTGACATTGTTGGCCAAGTCACACTAACTTTTTTTGACCACTGAGAAAAACAGCCGGACAAGGAATTAGGGAAGGTGGTTAAGGTGGGAGGAGGGGGACAGGAATGCTTATTTAAGGTAGAAAGAATGTAGGAATAGCTGTTTGTTTATAGTGATTAAGTCCTTTGGAACCATAGAAGGCTCCTATGGGCATGTCAGTGCTACCAATTCAGCCGCTAAGACACCCCCCCTCACCCCCCACCCCTTTTGAAATGACAATACAGGTGGACCACAGTTTAAAGTAGTTAGTATAATTTTGCTAAGGTTTAATCATTATAATTGTTCACTTCCTGGTGCATATTTCCTAAATATGCTTGGGGTTCAGGGTAGGTGGGTGGGTGAGTTTTCACTGTTCCATGATGTTTCACCGTATATTTTTCTCCCTCCTGTGACTTTGGCATCTTATTTGACTTTCTATTTTTTTTTCCTTGGCTTATTGCTGTAATCTGCTGGTGCAGCTAGAGAACTTAGTGCACCTATTCCCCTGTTACTACTAATTATCTTCAATGTTGTCAGAGGTTATTTTGATGTTCTAAGAAAATAACGTCACTTTTTTACAAAATCATCGTTTCCAAGTTAAAAGCAAAATAAAATATCCCTTGTGCTAGGGTGCCCATTTCAGCTGTTGACATTGCCCCTGTACTTTTATAGATGCTCTTTTTGTCTGTGTTGGTAGTAACTAATGACTAGTGAATTTTCATGTAGATGAAGCAAGTTAAATATTTCAGATTTTATTAATCTCTCATAACCCTACCAAATCTGATGACTTCATGTTAATTACTTCCCAGAAGGCACTTCCCCTCCTACTTTTTATTTTATTCTATTCTATCCTATTCTATTTTTAGAATAACACACTAGGTAAAGAAACTAACTGCAAGGAGTCAGTGATTTTTAGTGCTCCCCGATAAATGATGTTATTGACAAAAGTAAAAAAATTCTTTCATTGTTTTTTCTGTGTTACTATCTCCTCTCCTGTGCTGTTGACAGTGTGTTTAGTGGATGGATAAAATATATATCTCTTTCCCACTCCCAGATTCCAGATTCCCTGCCTTTTTGGCCCACCTCACCACAAAAGCTCCATAGTTTATTAATGTAAGTTTGAATGGATGCTTCTTTGGGGAAACTGTAGGAGTTAATGGAAGTGTTTCAGAAAGGAATAAGAATGTCTCAGGAGTTGTTTTGTGATGGAAATTGATCTGTTGTTCTGTTAATGCGGACGGAAAGAAACTTACAGAGCTTAATAAAAGTCTATTCTTTTAGTAAAGAAATTGTGAAATAATTTTGGGTGTGTGAAGTTTGCTTTCTTCTCCCATCTCTGAAGCCCTTTTAGCAAATGGGGGATATACTTGTCTCAATTCAGAAGTGTTGCACAGAGATTTAGGAGTCTTTGGAGAGTATCGGCAAGAGACCCAGTACAAGAATCATCAAAAGGAAGAGCATATTTATTTAGCTTCCTGGTTAACTTCTTTATTTGGGTGTTCTAAAGGCACCTTTGTCTCAACATTTCCCAAACCAAACCCATCCTTTCTTACGAGGTCTGGTCCTCTGCATGAGTGATGCTACCTTCTACTCAATTGCCTAAACCACAAACCAACCTGAGCATTAGTTATCCTAGACTTTTGTCTTTCCCTCATTTCTCAAATCCAGTTGGTGACAAGATCTGTTGGTAACACTCAACTATATTTCTATTTCTCACATCTGTCTCCTCTGTCCCTGCTCCTGTGGCCTGGTTCAGGCCTCATCATCTCTCACCTGGACTGCTGCAGTTGCTCCCCTGTCTTACTCCTAACCAATTATAAGCAACATTTTGTGTCTGTGTGTATGTCCCTTTTTCCAGTGAAAGGGCCTGTACCTTTGTGTGTGTTCTTAAAGGAATCTATGACAAGAGAAAGTTAAGAACCGTTGCTTTAATCTACCATGCTTATCCACTTCCAGAGTAATCTGTCCTTCTAACACTCTGCTCCCCAACTTCTACAGCTCCTTCATGATCTGGCCCCTGACCACTTCTCTAGCCTCATTTCCTACCTCCCCTATCCCACTCCAGCAATAATAAACTGCATCCCATACACATTAAGCTATTAATATCCATTTCTTTTCATTAGCTTATACCATGGCTTAGAATGCCTCTCTCCCCTTTGTCTTTGTTGCAGTCTCGACTTTCCCCTTCAAGATTCAGCTCATATCTTTATGATTCTTTTCCTGATCTCCAGCTAGGGATCCCTGTATACACTCATCACAGCCAGCCTCTATAGCACCTTGCTGCATATCTGCCTCTAAATTACACTTGAGAGCAATGACTGTGCTAGACCAACTCTGTACTCTTGGCACCTACTACACAGCATGCACTTGGTAGATGTTTAATGAATAAATCAAGGCCGGCTAGAACACCTTTGAAAATGTTCTTTGGAACAAAGCAGATTATAAACTTTTGAGGCAAAGGATGTGTTGGTGTCAAAAACACAGAGTATGAAGGTTCACCCCTGAATGATATTCATGTAAGTGTGTTTTAAAAGTGGAGTCTGAAAAAAAATTGAGCTCTGAGTCACCTTTGAGGGATGCTTGGAGCAGAGTCTGAAACCAGGACTCTAGGGCATTCTTAACTTACTGCTTCTTCCGAATGATGCTAGCTGTGCTTAGCCTCCGTAACCACTGTGCCTTCTGTATACAGACTATAAAAGGAAACAGCTGAGCCTAAAGGTGAGCATTAGAGGTCTGCTGAAGCTTGCAAACACTTTATCATTAAAACTCTTATTTATAACATACTTTGTTTTATATAGCTTCATTATAGCTACAGTAGATGTCTTTTCCTAGCTTTTCATCTTTGGGTGTTGGGACTCAGAATTTAATAGTAGGAAATCTTTAGCATTTGGCTTTTAAAAGTTACCATTTATGGGCTGGCCCGTGGCTCACTCGGTAGAGTGCGGTGCTGATAACACCAAGGCCACGGGTTCGGATCCTATATAGGGATGGCCGGTTTGCTCACTGGCTGAGCGTGGTGCTGACAACACCAAGCCAAGGGTTAAGATCCCCTTACCGGTCATCTTTAAAAAAAAAAAAAAAGTTACCATTTATGGGCTGGCCCGTGGCTCACTCGGTAGAGTGCGGTGCTGATAACACCAAGGCCACGGGTTCGGATCCTATATAGGGATGGCCGGTTTGCTCACTGGCTGAGCGTGGTGCTGACAACACCAAGCCAAGGGTTAAGATCCCCTTACCGGTCATCTTTAAAAAAAAAAAAAAAAGTTACCATTTAGAGAGGGCCTATTAGGTACTGGGCATAGTACCAGGTTCTTGTACATTATTCCTAATTCTCAAACAACTCTGCAAAGTACTATCCCTACTGACAGAGTTTAGATGTATTGTCTCCCAGAACTCGTGAAAATCTGATCCCCAATGTGGCAGTGTTGGGAGCTGTTTGAGTCATGGGGGCAGATTCCTTATGAATAGAATAATGCTCTCCCCAGGGGGTGTGGGTAGTGAGTGAGTTCTCGCTCTTAGTTCCCACGATAGCTGGTTATTTTTAAAGACCCTGACACCTCTCCTCTCTCTCGCTTGCTTCCTCTCGTCATGTGATCTGCTTGTACCCACTGGCTGCCTGCCATTTTCCACCATGAGTAGAAGCAGCCTGAGGCCCACGCCAGATGCAGCTGTCCCAGAATCATGAGCCAAATAAACCTCTTTTCTTTATGAATTACCCAGTCTCAGGTATTCTGTTACAGCAACACAAAAACGGACTAATGCACCTGCTTTACATACGAGCAAAACAATTCAGTGGTTCCCAGTTTTACACACAGCCAATAAGTAATAAAACCAGGCTTTAAATCTAAGTCTGTTTTGACTTGGTAAATAACTCTCGTTTCTGCTTGCCCAGCATTCTTTCCTCTTTCTGGCAATTAAACCCAGTTTTTTCCTTTGGGGAATTGCTCTTCTCTGTCTTGGGGTTGACCATCAGTCATGTCTTCACCTCCCCCAGCATGGAGATGGAGGGGTGTGTGACCCAAGTAGGGCCAATTGTAGTGTTTTTTTTTTTTTTAAGATGACCGGTAAGGGGATCTTAACCCTTGACTTGGTGCTGTCAGCAGCATGCTCACCCAGTGAGCTAACCGGCCATCCCTATACGGGATCTGAACCCGGGGCCTTGGTGTTATCAGCACCACACTCTCCCAAGTGAGCCACGGGCCGGCCATAGTGCTCTCTTATGTACTTGAGAGAGAAAGTAACAAAGAATGAAAATACAAGCATTAGGAATGATGTGTGCCTGGAACATTGCCTTCTATTTACATTTTCTACAACTAGTCTTTGTAAGAAATATGGAAATTCCATAGTCATTTAATAGCAGATACCCAATGGCATCTATTGAGGGCTTAAGTGCCAGGGAGAGAAAGTTCTAGGTGCTTTTTGTGCATTTTCATTTCATTATTCAGTCCTTACACATTCAAAATCTCTAACTCTTAGAAAAGGGGAATGTATCAGTCAAGATAGGGTGGGTTTGGCTACAACAACCCCCAAATCTCAGTAACTAACAAAGGTATACTTGCTGCTTATATTTTATATCCAGAAGATTGCAGGGGAGCTCTGTTAATCCACATTCACTTGGGAACTCAGACTAATAGAAGCTCCATCACTGGGTCAGGGGAAATCATGTGACCAAAACATGCATTGGCTCTTAAAGCTTAGAATATTATACATCACTTCTCTCTTTTCATTGCCCAAAGTAAGTCACATGGTTGCAGCTAATTTTACTGAGGTGGAGAAGTACAATTCTACTATGTGCCTGAGAAGGAACAGAACTGGATGTTTGGTGAATCACAGTGGCAGCATTACAGGGAGAAATGATTCATTTCTGGGTAGACTTGATTTTACCTTCTGGTTTGTTTCTATTACCTAACCACTTGAGTCTTTGTACCTAATATTTGGAATGGATTAGTGAAATATTCACTCCCATTTTAGTGTTATAGGGATTCTCTGCATGTGGTCAAAAGTGAATATAATCTGGTGGTGGTAACACAAGCATTGAGCTTAGTTCTCTTAGCCCACCTCGTGGGGCTGGTTGTGAGGATTAAATGACATAATGTATGCAGAGTGCCTGGCATATAATACAGCCTCAGTAAATGTTACCTGTTGTCGGTTTGGGAGGAGATGGTGGTAGATGAAAGACTTGTCTACGTGTCACCAAACCCAAGTCTGGCTGCCTGCCCCATACAAAAACCCTAGCTTGGCTCACCAAAATCTCTTACAGAACCCAGGGCATTCAGCTTCTGGCTGAGGCTCAACAAAATCATGTTACCAACCCAAGTCTGGCTGCCTGCCCCCAAAAACAAATGGCCCAAAAGTCAAATGTTGGTGAAAATGGAAGTCAGCTTTTATTCAGGAATACCAGTAACCTGAGGAGAGATGTTAGGCTAACCCATCACTCCCGTAAACCTGAAGGAGAATGGCCAGACCAAAGCCATCTCAAAGTCTCAGATTTACTGAGGGATTTTTAAAAAGGGGGTTGAGGGGATGGAATACAGGAAGTGAAAAGCAGGAGGGAGGGGGGTGCAAGATGTGGGGGCTCCATGCAAGGATCCAGGTGCAAGGTTCCATTTGGTATGTTTTCATCCTTGACGTTATCTTAGGGTCCTGCAAGATTTTGATTTGCTTCAGGGTGGAATCAGCATAGCTTTGTTGATGTCTTCCTTGGTTTCTCAGGGTCTGTACAGTACATGTCTCTTGGCAAGTCTGCAACTCCAGGCTGACTGGAAAATAACTTTACATTTATGTAAATAATGTCATCTTGCCCTGTAACCAAGGTTCAAAATATCTAATAACCACAGGAAAAGAGGGGACTCAGAGATATACATGCTAAGAAAAAAAACTATTAGAGCAAAGCCTTATAACACCAGAGTCATGGGTTACGATCTCCGTACCACGCAACCGCCAAACAAACAAACAAACAAAAAAAGACATACAAATTTATTATGTGCACAGGAGCATCACAGGAAAGAAAAGTGAGTACCCCAAAACCCAATGAGATCCAGAAGCTTATATACCCCCTTCATAGGGGAGAGGGGGGATGTAGGTAACTTAGGGGAGAGTGAGTGACTTTTGGGAAAAATGAATGAGCCCTCTGAAGAATAGGTGATAGCCTGTGATAAAGTCTGTCTGAGTGTGATGTCAACCTTCACTCTCTTTTCTTGTGATACAGTTAACCTTTCTTGGTTGATGAGATTCCTGGGCAGAAGACTCATGAGAATTACATTTCTTCTCTCTTTAGTCAGATAAGGGAACTTCAGAGAAA